TTTTTTTTTTTTTTTGAGACAGTGTCTTGCTCTGTCACCCGGGCTGGAGTGCAGTGGCGTGATCTCAGCTCACTGCAACCTCTTCCCCCTGGGTTCAAGCAATTCTCCTGCCTCAGCCTCCCCAGTAGCTGGGATTACAGGCACCCGCCACCACAGCCGACTAATTTTTGTATTTTTTGTAGAGATGTGGTTTCACCATGTTGGCCAGGCTGGTCTCAAACTCCCGACCTCGGGTGATCCACCTGCCTTGGCCTCCCAAAGTGCTGGGATTATAGGCATGAGCCACCAACCTGGCTAATTTTTGTATTTTTAAGTAGACATGGGGTTTCAGCATGTTGGCCAGGCTGGTGTTGAACTCCTGACCTCAGGTGATCTACCCGCCTCAGCCTCCCAAAGTGCTGGGATGACAGGCGTGAGGCACGGTGCCCGGCCAGAGGCTGTGAGTTTCTGACGTGAATTTTTGTTTTGACTTCATATGCGCCACGGACAAATGTACCCCCCTTTGATGACTGTAAATTCCTTCTCCAGTCATTTTCTTCTCGGATCTTAGCAAGACATTTTTTTTTAATGTTAACCCTTGTCTCTTTGAGCCAAATCAAATACCTTAATTATTGGAGCCAGAAGAACGGTTATAAAAGGGTCTGGGACAAGGATTAACATTCTCCCTTTCTTGGCTGGTCTCTTTTGTCCTGAAATCTTTCTTTGACTCATTCATAGTAAAATACGTATTTTTCACACTCCTCCCTTCCTTTAGCAAACGCCAGAGGCTTCAATGCATTGAGAGCAGACGCTTCTCATTATTTGTAATTATCCCCTCAGCCGAATGCAAGAAGAGGGCCCCGTGGGTAAAGCAGGCTGTTCACGAAAACGCCAGCGTTTTTATCACCATCGATACCATCTCCGCTCTTTGCTCCACTCCCCCGACGATCCTGGCTTCCCCCAGCAGGATAATTACTGGGTTATTACACTTGAACCCTGGCTGCTCTCCACACACACAAAAAAATGTATCCTGTCCTCCTGGCACATGGCCATTCTGATTTGAAACAGCCAGGGACGGCCCTCCTCGGTTATGTTTTCCGCTCTGCAGGATACCATTGTCATTTGCTAGCAGGGGAAATGTGGCCGTGCATCAGAGTCCAGACTCCAGGAAGCCCAGATGCTCAGATTTGTGTTGAGGCTGCTCTGGGGACGTGACAGCACATTTTTCGTGTGGTTGTGGTTGACGGTTTTGTGCCTGATTTGCATCTCCCATCCTTTTTCTACCTGTGACTTCTCATCCAGGAGGTTCAGCATTTTGACTTTTTTTTTTTTTTTAAAGTAAAAATGCATATATTGGCTGAGTGCGGTAGCTCATGCCTGTAATCCCAGCACTTTGGGAGGCTGAGGTGGGTGGATCCCTTGAGGTCAGGAGTTCGAGACCAGCCTGGGCAACATGCGGAAACCCCGTTTCTACTAAAAATACAAAAATTAACCGGTGATTACACGCCTGTAATCTCAGCACTTTATGAGGGCAAGGCAGGGAGATCACCTCAGGTCAGGAGTTCAAGACCAGCCTGGCCCACGTCGCAAAACCCCGTCTGCAGTAAAAATACAAAACTTAGGCGGTGTGATGGTGGGTGTCTGTAACCCCAGGTACTTGGGAGGATGAGGCAGGGGAATCGCTTGAATCCAGGAGGCAGAGGTTGCAGTGAGCCAAGATCGCACCACTGCACTCCAGCCTGGGCGACAGAGCGAGACTCTGTCTCAAAAAAGAAGAAATAAGCCGGGCTTGGTGGCTTATGCCTGTAATCCCAGCGCTTTGGGAGGTCAAAGTGGATGGATTACGAGGTCAGGAGTTCGAGACCAGCCTGACCAACATGGCAAAACCCTGTCTCTAGTAAAAATACAAAAATTAGCTGGACATGGTGGCAGGTGCCTGTAACCCCAGCTACTCAGGAGGCTGAGGCAGGAGAATCACTTCGACCCAGGAGGCAGAGGTTGCAGTGAGCCAAGATCATGTCACCATACTCCAGCCTGGGTGACAGAGCAAGACTCCGTCTCAAACTACAAGAAATAGGCCAGGCGCGGTGGCTCATGCCTGTAATCCAGCACTTTGGGAGGTCGAGGTGAGTGGATCATGAGATCAGTAGTTCAAGACCAGCCTGGCCAACGTGGCAAAACCCTGTCTGTAGTAAAAATACAAAAATTAGCCGGACATGGTGGTGGGTGCCTGTAGCCCCAGCTACTCAGGAGGCTGAGGCAGGAGAACCACTTGAACCCAGGAGGCGGAGGTTGCAGTGAGCCAAGATCACGCCACTGCACTCCAGCCTGGGCAACAGAATGAGAGACTCCGTCTCAAAAAAAGAAGAAATAAATACAATAGAAATAAAAAGAAAAATGCATGTGTCTTGATTATAAATGTCTGCATTTCATAGCTCACCTTAGCTGGGCTGTTTGCATTTGGTTTGTTTGTTTGAGATGCAGTTTTGCTCTTGTTGCCCAGGGTGGAGTGCAGTGGTCCGATCTAGGCTCACCACAAGCCTCCACCTTCCAGGTTCAAGCGATTCTCCTGCCTCAGCCTCCCGAGTAACTGGGATGACAGGTGCCCGCCACCACACCTGGCTAATTTTGTATTTTCAGTAGAGACGGGGTTTCTCCCTGTTGGTCAGGCTGGTCTGGAACTCCCGACCTCAGGTGATCCGCCGGTCTCGGCCTCCCAAAGTGCTGGGACGACAGGCGTGAGCCACCGTGCCTGGCTGGGCTGTTTGCACTTTGAAGCCAAGGGCAGAGTTGACAGACGATGGAAAAGAACCTGGAGTTGGAAGCGGCCGTCTACAGAGAACATGACACACAAGATGCCCCTGCCGCGGTGGCTCAGATGGCTACCGGGATCTCACAGGCTCTCAGGCTCTGCTCCATCCCTCGAAACTCTTCATCTATCTTCTGCGACAGTCTGAGGACTTTCTGAGTTTTCCGTGGCTCCCCAGGGGACGTAAACCCCTGGGAGTCAAGCTTCCCTGATGGTATTTCTTTTTTGTGTCCTGTTGAGCTGCAAGGAGGTTTCTGTCTCTTCCTCTGTGTCTACAAAACAAGTAAGGAAATGCCTCAAAAACCATGCAGGACAAAGGAACCCAAAGGCCACGCGTCACACTCACAAAGGATGCATCAACACAGCAGGTGCATATCAAAGTGTGGGACACAGGAGCCAGGAACTAATCCTTTTCCAGCATCTCAACTTTGTTTTTTTTCTTTTTTTTGAGATGGAGTCTCGCTCTGTCCCCCAGGCTAGAGTGCAGTGGCGCGATCTCGGCTCAATGCAAACTCCACCTCCTGGGTTCACACCCTTCTCTTGCCTCAGCCTCCTGAGTAGCTGGGACTACAGGCGCCCACCATCACGCCCGGCCAATTTTTATTTGTATTTTTAGTAGAGATGGGGTTTCACTGTGTTAGCCAGGATGGTCTTGATCTCCTGACCTTGTGATCCACCTGCCCCTGTCTCCCAAAGTGCTGGGATTACAGGCATTAGCCACTGTGCCTGGCCTTTTTTTTTTTTTTTTTTTTTTTGAGACGGAGTCTCACTGTGTCACCCAGGCTGGAGTGCAGTGGCACAATCTCGGCTCATCGCAATTTCCACCTCCCAGGTTCAAGCGATTCTCCTGCCTCAGCCTCACAAGTAGCTGAGATTACAGGCCTTGCACCACCACACCCAACTGATTTTACATTTTTAGTAGAGACGGGGTTTCTCCATGTTGGTCAGGTTGGTCTCAAACTCCTGGTCTCATGTGATCTGCCCCCGTTGGCCTCCCAAAGTGCAGGAATTACAGGCATGAGCCATCGCACCAGGCCTGATTTCAACATTTTAAAATAATGTGTATGTTGGCCAGGAGCGGTGGATCACTCCCGTGATCCCAGCACTTTGGGAGACCAATGCGGGTGAATTGCCTGAGGTCCGTAGTTCAAGACCAGCCTGGCCAACATGATGAAACCCCATCTCCACTAAAAATACAAAAATTAACCGGGAGTGGTGGCACATGCCTGTAATCCCAGCACTTTGGGAGGCCGAGGTGGTCACTTTGGGATCGCCTGAGGTCAGGTGTTGGAGATCAGTCTGGCCTACATGACGAAACTCTGTCTCTACTAAAAATATAAAAATTATCCAGCTGTAGTGGCACACACCTGTAATCCCAGCTACTCGGGAGGCTGAGGCAAGAGAATCACTTGAACCTGGGAGGTGGAGGTTGCAGTGAGCCGAGATCGCACCATTTCACTCCAGCCTGGGCAACAAGAGCGAAACTCAGTCTAAAAAAAAAAAATAATGCTTCTAATGGAAAATGGTTTTGTGGTTCCTCAAAAAGAAAGCATCCATATGACCCAGCAACTTCACTCCTAGGTACAGACCCCAAAGAATTAAAAACAGGAGCTCAAACAGGTACATGGTCCCGCCAGCATTATTCACAATAGTCAAAAGGCAGAGATAGCCCAAGGGTCCATCCGTGCATGAACGGATAAACAGAATGTGGCCCATGCACACAGTGGAATATTATGCAGCCAGGAAAAAGAATGGAGCACTGGCAGGTGCTATGGCATGAATGAGCCTTTGAAAAACTTCATGTTCAGTGAAAGATGCCAGATACACAAGCACACACGTTGTATGCCTCAATATACATGACATGTCCAGAATAGGCAAATCCATAGACTCAAAGTGGCGTCATGGTTACCAGAGGATGAAAGAACGGGGAATGACGAGTAATTGCTCATGAGAATAGATCTCTCTTTGAGATAATGAAAATATTCTCAACCTAGACAGAGGTGGTGGTTGTACAACACTGTGAATGGACTAATTGCCCCCGAATTGTCCACTTCGAAACAGTTGATTTTAGGCTGTATGAATTTCACCTCAATAAAAGATATTTCTTTATTTTGTTTTGTTTTTTTAAATTATACTTTAAGTTCTGGGGTACATGTGCAGAATGTGCAAGTTGGTTACATAGGTATACATGTGCTATAGTGGTTTGCTGCACCTATCAACGCGTCATTTGCATTAGGTATTTCTCCTAATGCTATCCCTTCCCCTGCCCCGCACCCCCTGACAGACCCCAGTGTGTGATGTTCCCCTTCCTGTGTCCATGTGTTCTCATTGTTCAACTCCCACTTATGACTGAGAACATGCAGTGTTTGGTTTTCTGTTCTTGTGTTAGTTTGCTGAAAATGATGGTTTCCGGCTTCGTCCATGTCCCTGCAAAGGACATGAACTCATCCTTTTTTATGGCCGCATAGTATTCCATGGTGTATACTCGTGGAATATACATCATCCCTGGTCATGAGAGAATTGCAAATCAAAACCACAATGAGATATACCATCTCATGCCCATTAGAATGGCGATCATTAAAAAGTCAGGAAACAACAAATGTTGACAGGATGTGGAGAAATAGGAACGCCTTTATACTATTGGTGGGAGTGTAAATTGGTTCAACGATTGTGGAAGACAGTGTGGCGATTCCTCAAGGACCTAGAAGCAGAAATACCATTTGACCCAGCAGTCCCATTTGACCCAGCAATCCCATGACTGGGTATATACCCAAAGGATTATAAATCATTCTACTATAAAGACACATGTACACGTGTGTTTATTGCAGCACCGTTCACAATAGCAAAGACTTGGAACCAACCCAAATGCCCATCAATGACGGACTGGATAAAGAAGAATTTTTTAAAAACAGTCTTTAAAAATGGAAAGAGAAGAGAGCAGAGGGTAGATACCAGGATGCCATCCACAGCAGAGCTCTGCCTGTGCAGATGCTGAGAAGACACAGAACCTCAAACCCTGGGGCTCCTGGGTGTCCACAAAGCATTGGCTCCTGGTTTGTAACAAAACTAAGCATTCAGAAACATTTGCCATGATTTTCCTAAATTATGTTGACTCTGCTGGTACTTACTGAAAGGTGTTTGAGGTCTGTGGGCTACGATCATCATAATAACAAATTGAGCTTGTGTGTTGCGTATCTTTACTCCGATTTTTCAGTGATTCAATTTCACTATGTTTACAAAAGAATTCATCTTCAATATATTGGAGGAAAAACGACAAAAACGAACACTGACAGTGGAAGAAGGCTTGGTTTCCATCACCTGTGTCTCAGGTCCCCCTGGAGAAAATTTTAAGTGCATGGATGGGAACTTTCTCTGTTTGGGGTTCCCATAACTCTTTCCAAGCCTGAAATTGATTATCGTCATCACCATCATAACCGTCACCATCATCACCATCACTAGCATCTTTGCCATGATCATCATCACCATCACCATCATTGCCATCAGCATCATCTTCACCATCATCCTCCTCATCATCACCATCACCATTATCACCATCACAACCATCTTTATCACCATCATAACTATTACCATCAGCACCATCACTAGCATCTTTGCCATGGTCATCATCACCATCACCATCATTGCCATCAGCATCATCTTCACCATCATCCTCCTCATCATCACCATCACCATTATCACCGTCATTATCACCATCACAACCATCTTTATCACCATCATATTACCATCAGCACCATCACTAGCATCTTTGCCACGATCATCATCACCATCACCATCATTGCCATCAGCATCATCTTCACCATCATCATCATCATCACCATCACCACCATCACCATCATCATTGTCACCGTCATTATCACCATCATAACCATCTTTATCACCGTCATAACCATTACCATCATCACCATCACCGTTACTATTACCATAATCACTATCACCATCATCTTCACCATCATCACCATCACTATCATCAACACCATCACCATCATCATTATCATCATCGTCGTCCTCATCATCGCCATCACCATCAGCACCATCACCATCGTCATTATCACCATCACCATCACTAACTTCTTTGCCACTACCATCATCACCATCATCTTCACCATCGTCGTCCTCATCACCATCACCACCATCATCATTATCACCATGATTATCACCGTCATCACCATCACCATCATTGCCATCAGCATCATCTTCACCATCATCATCCTCATCATCACCATCACCACCATCACCATCATCATCACCATCATTATCACCATCATAACCATTACCATCATCACCATCACTAGCCTCTTTGCCACTACCATCATCACCATTACCATCACTATTACCATCATCACTATCACCATCATTTTCACCATCATCACCATCACCATCATCAACACCATCACCATCATCGTCATCACCATCGTCATTATCACCATCGTCATTATCACCATCACTAACTCCTTTGCCACTACCATCATCACCATCATCCAAACCCTCTGTGTAAAAATGAATGAGAAAAATCATGCCTCCCCCATGACACCTGATGGCAGAGAAACCCACACAGAATCAGACTCAAACACGCTGTTTCTCCCTGTCTCTCTCTCTCTCTGATCCTCTCTCCCTACCTCCTTCTGTCTCTTTTCTGTCTTTCTCTCCCACTCTCTCTCCCTTTCTGTCTCTCTGAGTCTCTTTCTCTCCTTCTTTTCCGTCTCTCTTTGTCCCTGTCTTTCCCTCCCTCCTTCCCTCCATCTCTCTCTCCCTCGCTGTCTCTCTCTCTCTCTCCCATTCTATCTCTCTGAGACTCTTTCTCTCCCTCTCTTTTTCTCCTTCACTTTCTGTCTCTCTTTCTGTGTCTCCTTCTCTCCGTCTCTCGCTGTCCCTGTCTCTACTTCCCTTCTCTCCGTTTCTCTCCCTGTCTCTCTGCATCCCTGTCTCTCCCTCCCTCCTTCTCTCCATCTCTCTCTCTGCCTGTCTCTCTGTCCCTGTCTCTCCCTCCCTCCTTCTCTCCATCTGTCTCCCCCTCTCTGTCTCTCTCTGTGTCCGTGTCTCTCCCTCCCTCTTTCTCTCCGCTTTCTCCCTGTCTCTCTCTCTTTGTGTTCCAGTTTCTCCCTCCTTCCTTCTCCCCATCTCTCTCTCCCTCTCTGTCCCTCTCTCTCTGTTCCAGTCTCTCTCTCCCTCTGTCTCTCTCTCTCTGTCCCTGTCTCTCCCTCCCTCCTTCTCTCCATCTCTCTCTCCCTCTCTGTCTGTCTCTCTCTATGTCCCCGTCTGTCCTTCCCTCCTTCTCTCCATCTATCTCTCTCTCTCTCTCCCTCTCCATGTCTCTATCCATGTCTCTCCCTCCTTCCTTTTCTCCACCTATCTCTCCCTCTCTGTCTCTCTCTGTGTGTCCCTGTCTGTCCCTCCCTCCTTCTCTCTGTCTCTCCCTGTCTCTCTCTCTCTGTCCCTCTCTGTCCCTGTCTCTCTCTCTCTCTTCCTCTGTCTCTCCCTCACTCTCTTTTCCCTTGCTCTCACCTCTCTTCCCTTCTCTGTCTCTTGACAAAAACTCTTTCCTTTGACTGAAACCTAAGCCAGGCCTCTCTGAGTCCCCTGCCCGACGAGGCCGGACCTTGGGCTTCCCTCCACGCCCTTGTAGAATCACTTCTGAGCAAGAATCCTGCTCCACCAGTGGGGTGAAAGTCCCCCACCCTTGAGGCCTGACGGTCCTGATCACCCTGGCTGGCGGTCCGCAGTGATCCAATCAAGTCAGTGTAGCCAGAAACTGCTTCTCCTAGGAATTTCCTCTGAGTAATCCACAGCCCCTACCCGTGTCGCCCCATAGTTATAAATCTCCACTTCTCTGCGTTGGAGTCAAGACAGGGGCTGCTCTCTCCCCATTGCAAGACTTTGCTACAGGGGGTTTCCTGATAGCTGCCATCTTGGATGCCTTCAATGAAATCTGCTTTGCTATCTTTCACTGACATTGAAATATTTCTTTTTTTTAAATGTAAATTTTATTTTACTTTATGTTCTGGGATACATGTGCTGAACATGCAGGTTTGTTACATACGTTTACACGTGCCATGGTGGTTTGCTTGCGCCTATCAACCTGTCATCTAGGTTTTAAGTCCCACATGCATTAGGTATGTGTCCTAATACTCTCCCTACCCTTGCTCCCCACCCGCCGACAGGCCCCCCCGTGTGTGATGTTCCCCTCCCTGTGTCCATGTGTTCTCATTGTTCAACTCCCACTTATGAGTGAGAACATGAGGTGTTTGGTTTTCTCTTCCTGTGTTAGTTTCTTGATTATAAATCATTCTACTATAAAGACACATGCACATGTATGTGTATTGCAGCACTATTCACAATAGCAAAGACTTCGAACCAACCCACATGCCCATCAATGATAGACTGGATGAAGAAAATGTGGCACATAGACACCATGGAATACTATGCAGCCATGAAAAAGGATGAGTTCATGTCCTTTGCAGAGACATAGATGAAGCTGAAATATTTCTTTCTTTAACCCTACATTCTCTCCCTGTCAGTGTCTGTCTGTCTCTGGCTCTCACCCCACCTTGGTTCTGAAATGTCCACCTTGAATGTAAAGACCCAGGGAAGTGGGGCCCGAAGAGCTGTCATGGTTCCTGACACGCCCATTGCATGGCGTTCTGCCCACCTGAGACGTGGCCCTCGATCTCGTCCTCTCGCCTGCCCTGCATTTTCCAAGGGCGTCTTTCCTTATCCATGGCTCAGAGTCCCCTTCCTAAGTGTCCACGTCAGCATCCCGGAGACGAATGATGGCTGCAGGCTCTGGGGCACTGTAGTACCCACCAGCTCCGGGGGCCGAACCCATACGACGCTGGAATCATCTTACAGATCCACGGGGCCACAGCTCCATGGCGACCTTGCTGCCCAGGCGAGGTGCCCATCATGCTAGCTTCCTCGGGAGCGTGCTGCCTTCGGAGACCCACGAGGTGCGGTGCTGAGACTGGACACATCCCAGCAAAAGCAGCTGCTCACTGTGACCCTGGCTGTGACTCCAAAACCCCTAAGCACAGAGGGAGACGCGCCAACAGTGCCCAGACAAGCTGGCTTTCCACGCCGCAGGTCCCTGTGAGTCTGTTCTACAGCGGCCATCCATCCCCGTCCAGCAAGGGCCCTTTCCATGAGAAAAGGCTTGACCCTGAGGTCAAGCGCAGGTGCCAACCACCCCAGCAAGCCCCTTGGATCCTGCCCCCACAGGAGCCCTGGAATCCACTGCCACGTCGCGCCTGGCATGCTAATTCTGGGTGTCGGAGACTCTGCGGTCTTGCAGACAGCACTCGCCCATTTATTCACTCTCCGAGAGGCCACGGTGCTCCCCGTGGCCGCATCCAGAGGTTCACCGGCCACGTGCCCTTGTAGGTGACCGCCGCTTTCTCTCCTGGAATCTCCGCCTACCACCTGCACCAACTTCCTTGGGGACACGCTCCCACCTCCCACACAAAGCTAGTCTGCTGTCTTTGTGCAATCAGCTCCCTACTGAGCTGTACCCACATCTGCGGGTACCACCAAGACAGCCTGCTAGCCTCCGAGGCACTGGGGCTGCGGTCAGCACAACGGCCTGGCCACGTTCTCCTAGGAGACGCCTGAATCTCTTCCTCCACTCTTGCCCGGCCCCTTGGGTCTGAGGAAGTCAGCGTGGCTTGGAGGCAAGAGTCCAGGCGTGCAACGTAGACAGATCCTTCGGCTTCCACAGTCCTTAAGAGGCAACAGTGTCCATTTCTTCCTCAATGCAGGGGTTGCAAAGGTGGGAAAGGTTGACGGGAAGGAAGGATGCTTTCCATCTGGTGAATGATACTGTGATGTAATCCCTACCTCTGAGCTTTCCTTGGGCCTGCACTCTGGGCCACTAACTGAACCCGGACGCTGACAACAATGAATATATAAACACACCCGAAGCTGCCGTTCGCTGCCAGTAAGGCTGGCTCTCGTTATAGTCCCATCACCTGAAGATCATTTTATCACGTCGAAGGAAGCCCCCGGCCCTGAAGGACTCACTTCTCCCCGCAGTGACATTTAAAATTCCATTTGCCATTATTAACGTTTCACCCAGGGGGCAAAGCCTTGCTCTGTCCTCGACTTCAGAAGCCTCTATGCGTCTCTTTCCTTTGGGAAATTTAATTTTTAAGGGACAAACAGTGACTGCATCTATCTGTAGGGTACAGTGTGACATTCTGATATATGTACACATCATGGGATAATTGCCTGCAGCCAATGAACATATCCATCACCTCACCTACTTTTCTTTTGTGTGTGTGTGCTGCACGCATTTAAAATCCTACATTTAGGCCAGGCACGGTGGCTCAAGCCTGTCATCCCAGCACGTTGGGAGGCCGAGACGGGCGGATCACGAGGTCAGGAGATCGAGACCATCTTGGCTAACACGGTGAAACCCCGTCTCTATTAAAAAATACAAAAAATTAGCCCGGTGTGGTGGCGGGCACCTGCAGTCCCAGCTACTCGGGAGGCTGAGGCAGGAGAATGGCGTGAACCCGGGAGGCGGAGCTTGCAGTGAGCC